CCCGTAGGTAGGCAGGGTGCCCCCCTGCCGCCCCTCTTCTGCCCCGCCATTCATCTCCCTCCGTCTCGCCTTACAGCACGGTTTCTTCTCCCTCCCTGCAACCCTACCTTCGCTCCTCTTGCTCCTTCCCACTCGAGCCCTTTGGCTCTGCCGCTGGCTGCGTGACCTCCGCCGCCGGAGCGGGCGGTTATCGCGTAGCGGGAACCCCCCCACCCGGGTGCCGCCGCCACGCACGCGCCTCGCGGGAAAACCGGCCGGAGGAAACCTGGAGTTGGTGTGAAAGGGGCGGGAGGTGCGGGAAAGCTGCTCCCGATGCTGCGGCAAGCCAGGAGCACCCTCAGGAAAGTCGGGGCTACCGGTCAGCGTTGGATGGATGGCCCCAGACCCGGGAGGCTTAAGAACGGTGCGAGTATAAGAAACACACAGGTGCTCTCACGTGTCACAGCTGATGGACAACTTGCAAAATTGTTCTGGCCTTAGACTGCATTTATCTGGAGTTATCCACCTTCCGAAAAGTGTATACAAATACTTTTGATACCAATGGGCACCTGCAAAAATGAGATACCTCTCTAAAACTGTGACACCAGAATTTATGGACTCCTACAAATGGTGGAAATTACGAAAAATGGTAATAAATGAGAATTGATACTGGGTTTGAGTCGCTGTGCTTTTTGTGCTACTTGTACACCTTACAGAAGGAGTACGTCAGCAGATTCATTGGAGTCAGGATTACTCAGATTATTAATGGTAAGAGGATCAGGAGCTGATAGGGAGAAATAGCAGATTCTTGATTTTGATAGATAAGTAATTGTATTTAAATACTGTATGTGGAATCACAGGCCTATGCCTTACCTCTGGCTTAATAATATAATTACATTTTGCAAGGAAAGTCCTTTTCATCTGAGACTCTCAAACATTTTACAAACACCACACCTTTAAGTCAGTCATTATCCCCATTTTACATATGGCTACACCGAGGCACTATGAAGTGACACCATTTAAGATTTTAACTTGAGTTATACTTGACCACGTGTAGGTACAGAGCTTTGAGTAACAATCTGGAAGAAACATCAGGTGTCAGAATGAGATGATAAGATGTATTATAGGGCCGCTGTGCTCTGAATTTATACAGTTCGGCTTTAGGCTAGAAAACGGCTTTCCCCCGTGGAGTGGAAAGCTGCACGAGAAGGTAGCGTGCATCAAAACTAGGCTTTAACCTGTGTGGTTTCTGTCAGGTTCTCCTCACACCGGGGCAGGTGCAAGAATGTTGTTCTTAACAACTAACTGACTTTTGCATCTGTGCCTCAAGGTGGTGTGCTGGCTACCTTAAGTCTTTTAGTCGAATTCCTGGTATGCAGCTGGTCGCTTTCACTTTCATAGGTCTCTCTGCATTTGAAGTAAACTTATTTAATGACCCGAACCGCTAATTAAATAATGTTGCAAGAAGCATAAACATGCTGACAGATGGGAAGTTTTGGAGGGGACATTTTATGTATTGGTTACCCACAGGACAGGGTCCCCTAGAAGAAATAAAATCAGATAGAATAAATAAAATCAGACTACTTGTCAGCAAGAGCCTTTTACTAAAAGGTCAGCTCAACAAACTCTGCAAAATGAAATGTATTTCAAACTTGCCCAAGCAAGAGAAGCTCTTGAAACCAGGAAGGGTGACGATCATTAGTTTTTCATTAAATCACTTAATGAGGTGATTAATGTGTGTCTTAGACTCTTAGAGATTGTAGCAGTAGGTGCTTTAGAAAAAACAAGCTTCCCAGAGATTATAGCCAGAGATTACTGCAAAGAGTCCTCGATATGGAAATCTGTTGTGTTTGGTGCTACTAACTACCTCTTTCTAGGACCACTGAAACCTGGAATCTTTACAAACACCATTGATTCCCAAGAGCTCTCAGGAGTATATGACCCTGGGATTAAAACCAATCGTTCCTACTTGCTACTCAGGAGCGGTTTCATAAAATACTAAAACTAGATTAGATGTTCCTCATGCTGTTTCAAAAATGGGATGTTAAAATGATATAAAACATAGATTCGGTTCCAAACCCCTGTGCTGGTTTGAGTTTGTCCAGAAAACTGTGATAGTTAATCTGCTATCAATTATATGTAGGTGGATTCTGTATTATCTTTCTATACTGCTAGGGAATCATGTTACAGCTTTTTTGTTTGGTTGTTGGTTCTTGGGTTTTTTTTTGTTTTGTTTTGTTTTGTTTTTCTGAAAAGGTGACAACTCTAAATTATATTTGGAGACTTTATTGACTTGTAATGATTTATTGAATTTACCTCCAAAATATTCCCTCTGCTCTGATATAAATTAATTTTATACCGGTTCCTTCTTCAGTTTCATCAGGATTATTATATTAAGATGCTATACAAAACAGTGGAGTAGATGCAAAATAACTTATTGACACAGGATTGTACCTCAGTTACCTTAGCTACCAGTCTTCGGACTGATCTTGGGCATGTAGCAGCACATCCCTGTGTCTTAATTTTCTTCTCTGAAAATTGAGATAATGATAGTGATCTTAAGTAGGTGCTTTTTGATTTGCAGATGAAAGCACTGTATAGGAGAGAAACTTTTTTTTTTTTTCCAAATTGTGGATTTGACAGGCCTGAATGTTGTGTCAAAAACCTTGTGAAAATAAAGACCAACACCATTCCACTTGACCAAATGGTTAACTATCAGCAGAGGAAAACTGATTTTATCTGGGTCAAAATACAGGAGACATTATTGTGTCAGTATTAGCTGAAGCTAGGTGCAATGAATTTTGAAGTGTCTGAGCACCTTGCTAGCAAGACCTGTATTAAATGTATTTTGAATGTGTTTAAACTGAGGTTAAAGTAATTCCAGAGTCTTGTTATAACATGGAAAAATCTCAGTCCTTGTTGGTTGGTGAAACCATGTCATAACCTGTTTCATATAAAACTGTCTTTAAACTGTGCTTAAGCAACAGCTGGTGGTTTCTCCTGTGAACAGTAGATGATGTTTAATTAGCCTTACAGTCATCTACATTACAATCAAATCAAAGAATGCAGTTGCAACACATTCCCAATTTGTATTGTAAATGTGACCCTAACTGTGTTCCTAAAATCTCTGTCATGTGCTACAGCTGGGTACACTGACCTGATTGTAACATAAGCAGAAACGTAGCACACTAGCAGAAATTCCCATTCCTGAAATCATGCTCATTCTTCATAAATTGATACTTTTAATGTTTGAAGCCTACCACAAGAAAAAAAGGTTTACTTCTCTAGTATCCTGTGCTCTCATTAATTATTCCATTAAATAGTGCTTCTCAAAATCATCTCTTAAAAAAGGAATTTGGATTACACAATCTTGGAAAACAAACCTGTTGCCACCAAGCATGAACTAACATGTTACAGTACTCAACGGCTTATCACAAGTAAGACAGCACCCAGTTTTGTAGACTAGAAAAAGTCTTGGTTGATTATCTGTGCAAATAAACTATGCTGTGTTGAATATTCTAGTTTGCTTAGAGTTGTATTCTGCCTGAGGACTTACTTAATACCTGTGCCTTTTTTCAGCTCTTCAGCAAGAGTTGTAAAATTTAAAAAAATGTTTAGCATTTGTGAGTGAAGTAATGACCACAGCTGTAAGTACTCCAAATGGGATTTGGATGAGGAATATACCTTTGGATGCAACTGTTACTGCTGTCCAAGCTAGAATAGTGTAATGGCAGAGTGAAAAACATTTTTTCCAGTTTTCATGGATTATCAATTTGGGTACTTTTAAATGTATCATTTAGCATGGTCATTAGGTCTTCAGATTTCTGAAAATAGTGGTCTCCTGAGGGGGGAAAAAAAAAATCACTAGCGTTTAACAAAAGTATTAAATTAGCAGCATGCCTAGAAGTCAGCATACACCACTGGTTTGTAGGTATTTTAGTGGCGGCTCATTTCTGATAATCATAACCTTTATGTGTCTCAGCATGCATTTAAGTGTCTGACTGTGGGCACACAGCTGAAAATATTTTGTTGCCACTTAGAGATAAATGGTTTCTCGAGAAAGCAAAGAACTAATGTTCTAATTTAAAATGTGGTTTGGGAACTGTCACAAACTTGTGTAACTTCAACTGAGCCATTATCTTTGCATATCTCTCTGAAATGGGTGTAAGTCCATACCTGGATATGAGAGTACTGTGAAATTCCGAATTTGAAGACTGTCTGAAATTAACAGTGAAGTGCACTGTAAAAACCTCAGATAGGTGTACCTTAGCTTTTCGAAGTCTGTAAGCTGTTTCTAAAAGAGCCCTGATTCTCATTCTCCCTTTTGGTCAAAATGAACAGGAAACTGGCTCTGAGTTAGAGCAATTTGTGAATGCTGAGAGGTGTATATAAATATTGATTATTTTCTATGCTGACTCTCATTTGCATGATACACTAGATACCCTGGAAAGATTTAAAACACACACAAACATTTTCCTGGTAAAGATTAATGCAAAAATGGCATAAGAAATACCAATAAAACTGTTGGAATTTAGACTTGGAAGAGGTGAGGAGATCAAGTGATAACCAAGTCATTAAGATGTAGAATGCAGTTGTTTTATCCTTGCATATTTATTTATTCAATTGGATCATTTCAGTTAGTAGTTCATAAACTGTGGCTGCCTGAGATGGGTTCCCACTGCAATTAGTTGGGTGACTGAAAACTCACTCTTGAACTTGCCTGTAAAAATGGCAGAAGTAATGTTGAGGTGGTTACAATGTGTGTAAGATAAGGAGGCATACTTTTGTCTTATCTATTCAACCTTTTAGCAGAGAAACACAGGAAGATTTTAGAGACAGCATTAAGATAGGTAGAGGCTAATAAGTCATTTGATTAGTTTGTTATGAATGGTGTAGGTGATGTTCTTAATTATTTCACCGACTGATAAAAGATTTGACCGTAGGTGAACACAATAAGAAGCAAGTATAGAATCTCAGATAATAGCTATCTAAAAGTGATAGATATAACTTTATATATATAAATATATATATATGTGTATAATAAATATATATGTAAGCCATAACAAAAATGAAACAAAGTATGAACTCAGGGCTTTAATTTAAATAGTTTATAGCAATGAGATGTTAAATGGAGATTAGGCACAGCAAGGGCAGCCATTGTAAATGATCAAGAGTTTAGAATAGAGACATCAACAGAGAAGCAAAACTCTGACTTTTGAAGGCAATCATGCAGATGATGGCCACATACCACTGTGAGAGTTGGCCTTTGAGGAAAAGAGAAACTTAAAAGTACTTTAAAAAAAGTTAATAAAAGAGTTAAAGGTGATAAAGGGAGGAAATCACTGAATGTAAACCGAAGAAAAAACAGATGAGAGAGCCCTAACAAGAAAAGGAGGTAACGACTTACCAGCAGGCATTTTTTACATGCCCCATTTGAAAATAAAAAGTTGTTGGTAAAGAGGCAGAGATGGCTATGAAAGGTGTATGCTTTCAGTTTTTATGTAAGGCACTTATGTCTTAACCACTTTTCTCTCTCACTTGAACAGAATGATACTCAGAGTAAATGTACATGTGTACGGTTAAGAGTA